ATCCATGTGGTTGCACCATCAGCAGTTCTTTTTTTATTGCTAAGTGATACTCTGTTGTATCATGTGCCACCATTTACTCGTCCTTGCACCTAGATTTAACTTTTAAAGGGACCTTCTAGAACCCACTGGAGGAGGCCAGAATGGAGGCAGGAAGACCTGCTTCTGGCGGTCCAGGGAAGAGATGAAAATATATTGTCACACCAGCCCTGAGGCTGCCCCCCAAACACGCCAAGTGCATCCCCACCTTAGGGCCTCTGGACCTACCATTGTTAGCCCAAAAGTCTCTTCTCCCAGGTGTCTATAGGGTTTGCCGGCTCCCTTCATTCTAGGCTCCACTGAGCAGTCACCACCTCAGGAGGACTTTCTGTGAGACACCACCCACCCCTGGCTCCCTTCATCCCCTCTCTCTGAGTTGTGTCTCTTCATCCCTCTTACTGCCAGCCAAAGACATTATTCCTCTTTGTATATTTATTTAGTGTCTGCTGCCCCCAGGAGAATGTGAGCTTTGTGGTGGCATTTTATATTTGTGGGTGACTAAATGGGGGCTCCCTGAGGAGCCCATGCAAAGGTCTTTGTCTTTCATCTTTGTCATTTTGTGTCTGGCACATAGCAGTGCAAGTGATTAAAGAATGAAAGGGAAGCAATTGAGGTTAGAGCTGCAAATGTGAAATTTCCACCAGGATGGGCCCCTCAGGTATTCCCAGGTGCAGTTCCCCAGGTTGGTGGAGGTCAGGGCAGGGGTAGACAGCACTTAAAGAGAGTTGGCCCAGGGTTGTGGCAGTGAGCAGACTTGGAGGCTGCAGGTTGGGAAGCTGCCTGTGTTCTGGGTGTCATGAGGCTGTACCCTGCTGAGTGTATGCAAGAACTTCTCCCAGGTGTGTGGAGGGGACTGGATGGATGGTCCCACCTCCAAGCCTTCTGCCCACCAACTTTTGTGTTCCTGTTTCTCCTCTCCCACTGCACGGACTCCCCAGCATCACTCTGGAGCAGGCGCACCTCTTAGAACACTTGACCAGCTGGTAGAAATGTCCCAGAACAAAGTAAAGGGATAATTAACAGCTGTTGATTGATCTGGGCATGAGGGTGACCATGCTTGTAGCAACAATGGAACGTAATTAAAATTAGCTGATCTTGCAGCTATTGAGGTGCTGCCTTGATCTCTGTGGCGTCCATGTGGCCACCTTTGTATTACAGACACATCTGGAAATTGGAGGTCTGTGTTTAGGTGACATGCCTGCTGTGGCTGTTGGATGATAATTATGTAGATTTTCCTCTGGAACTTAATTTTACAAACTGTCAAAACGGGCTTGTTATATTTATCACTTAAATCATTAGGGAATAATAATTAGACCAAAAATGATGTAAAATGCTTCTGTATTAATAATCATTTTTAGCTTGAAACTGCTGGTGATAATTGGTTTTTGGGATTGGTATTTAGAACTGCCTTAGGAGAGGCCGGGCACTGTGGCTCACGCCTGTAATCCCAACACTTTGGGAGGCCAAGGAGGGTGGATCACGAGGTCAGGAGATCGAGACTATCCTGGGTAACACCGTGAAACCCCATCTCTACTAAAAATACAGAAAATTAGCCAGGCGTGGTGGTGGGCACTTGTAGTCTTAGCTACTTGGGAGGCTGAGGCAGGAGAATGGTATGAACCTGGGAGGCGGAGCTTGCAGTGAGCCGAGATCACACCACTGCACTCCAGCTTGGGCGACAGAGCGAGATTCTGAATAAAAAGGCACCTTATGTGCTTGCCTAGAGGGGGCCAATTTTTAGCACCGTGGCTTGGCTTTGTTATGGATAAAGAAGAGAGACATAATGTGGTTGGTTTAGCGAGGAAAGGTTCAATTTGGGTCTCATTGATTGATAGCAGTAGTTAACTTTCACTGAGGACTCACTGTCTAATTGTTTTACTGTATGAACTCATTTAATTACAGCAGTAGGTGCTGTTAACTATCCCATTCTGCAGATGTGAACACCAAGTAACTCACCCAGACTTAAGCAGCCAGTCTCCCAACCAGGATTGGGGTCCAGACAGCTAACTCCTGAATCCGCACTTGTAACTGCTGTGTTGTGCTGCTTCTGTTTCTTAGTACCTACTGCGTGTCATTGTCCTGAGCCCAACTAAATCCTCATATCAAGGCAGGTGGGATTCCTGGTGTGGAAAAGGAAACCAAGATTTAGAGAGTGAATAATTTGCCCTAGGTCATTTCTTTCTTTCTTGTCTCTCTTTTCTTTTTTCTTTTTTTTGGACAGAGTCTCACTTTGTCTCCCAGGCTGGAGTGCAATGGCACAATCTCGGCTCACTGCAATCTCCGCCTCCTGGGTTCAAGCAATTCTCCTGCCTCAGCCTCCTGAGTAGCTGGGATTACAGGCACCTGCCACCATGGCCGGCTAATTGTTTGTATTTTTAGTAGAGATTGGGTTTTGCCATGTTAGCCAGGCTGGTCTCGAACTCCTGGCCTCATGTGATCTGCCCACCTAGGCCTCCCAAAGTGCTGGGATTAGAGGTGTGAGCCACAGCACCCAGCCGCCAGGTCATTTCTTATTTGATTCTTTCATTCAGCACATATTTACTGAGAGCTTAATATGCACCAGGCATTTCCTAGGCCCTGGTGTTACCTCCATGATCAAGGTAATTGTTGGAAGACACTTGTCATTCTTGTTCTTGCGATGCTTACATTCCAGTGGTAAAAGAGACAATAAAAAAGAAAATACCAGATAATGAGTAGCAGCTGGAGAACTAAAATATGATGATGTGATGAAGAGTGAGATGTCACTTCTTTAGATGGTTCTTAGGGAGGCCCCTTTTGTGGAGTAGTGACATCTCTACTGCGATCTGAATGCCAGCTCAGAGCCAGCCACTTGGAAGACCAGACTAAGAACATTCCAGGCAGAGGGAGGCCTGCAAGTGGCCCAAGGTATGAGCCTGGTGGGTGAAGGGGAGTGGAGTAGGCAGAGAGGTCACTGGGAAGGGGCGTCCGTTGGTAAGCCTTGAGAGCCAAGGTCAAGACTGGGTTTTATTTGTAAGCATGATGGAGAGATGTTGGAAGATTTTAACCAGTGATGTCATGTGATCTGCTTTTTGTTTGGAAAAGATCACTGTCCTCAGGTGATTGGATTGTGGGGGCAGGTGCCGCAGCAGAGCTCCCTGTTTGCTGTCGTTGTCATTCTGGTAAGAGATGGCGAGTACTGGGGTGGTGGGTATGGACACGGAGAAAAATGTTCATGGGCTCAGGTGTGTTTTGGAGGAGGAGGTAGCTTGGCTTGCTGATGAATTTGATGTAGGGAGCTTGGGAGAGAGAACTTGGGTGAACTGCTTTGTAGTTAGTGATGCGGTAGGCTGAGCACAGTGGCTCATGCCTGGAATCCCAGCACTCTGGAAGGCTGAGGCAGGCGGATTGCTTGAGCCCAGGAGTTCAAGACCAGTTTGGGCAACATGGTGAAACCCCATCTCTGCAACAACAACAACAACAACAACAACAAAAGATGCAGTTCACTGAAATGGAGAAAGCCAGCCTGGGGAGGGTCTGCTTTATTTGTTTGTGATTGCAACTCCTTGGGTGAGTCTGATGCAGACATGGTAAGTCTGCGTACCTCTTCACTCTCCTGTCAAGTGGACATCACATGTGAGTGGAATTCCAGAGAATGATGAGGGCTGGGGCTGCAGCTTTGAGAGTGCACGGTACATTCTTGATACCTAAAACCGTTGCACTGGAGATGGCCTTGGAGAGAAGGTGGATGGGGAGAGGACAAGTCCTGAGATGTGCCAGTGTTGAGCAGTTGAACTGGGAAGGCCAGCCAGGAAAGGAGAAGGAGAACCAGATACATGTGATGCCAAGAGATGCGTTTCTGGAAAGAGGGAGCGGAGAGAATACTGCAGGTGGATTCAGAACAGGGAAGTGACTGTTGGATTTGGCAGCGTGACAGTTCATGCTGACCCTGTGCAGGGCCATTTTGGGGAAGCCTGAGAGGAGACTTGTGAGTGTGGATGTAAACAGCACAGAGACCGTAAAACTGTGGAGTTGCAGTGAGAGGAACACAGAAGCAGGAATTGGGGGAGCTGTGAGGTCAGTCAGGGTCTTTCCAAATGGGTGTTAGATCCTGCTTGTTTTGCTGTGGAAAAGGCCCACACGGGAGGGAGACAGTGCTGGAGGAGCAGTCGGGTGGGTCTGCAGAGTAAGGGCTTGAGCCAGAGCGGGAGGAAGCAGGTCCATGCAGCCAAGTGTGCAGGGGAGGGATGGCAGGGAGGGCAGGAGTGGGAGAGGGGCTGGTGGTCGGGGTGGGTAGAAGAGGACATCCCGTCTCATTGCTTCCCGTTTGCTCTCTGATGAAGAGGCAAGTTAATGGGCAGGGGTTGTGGGCATGAAGAAAGGAGAGGATATGAGGTCCTTTGGAGAGAAGGAAAATCGAGGCGTGTGGTGGGTGGTGGTAGTGGGATGGAAGCACCTGGATGCAGGGCAGTGGGAAGGGGGACAGATACTTGGGTGTCCCCAGGGTTGGGGGTTTTTCAGGTGAGAACAGTGGTGAGAGGGAGACCAGCGTGGGTTGGGGGCTGCAGGGCTGTGGAGAGTGGCAGGGCACCTAGGCCTTTGTGTCCCCACCCAGCCCTGCATCAGTGTGACTGCTACCTCTTGTCTTCCTCCCGGCAGGTAGTGCCAGCAGGGCACCAGGCTAAGTGTCCCGGTGGTGCCTTCTGCCCCTGTCTGGGGAAGGCTGCTGGGCAGCTCATTCTGTGACTGTACCTCCGGATGAGCGCTCCCTGGCAGCAGCCCTGCTCCCTGCCTTCCCTGCTCCTGATCATCTTTTCTTTGGGTTGGCTCAGGATGCCATGAGGATGGAGAAAGTGGGTGGATGTCTCAAAAGTCAGCTCTAAAGTCGGAGTCAGAACAGGGGCTGCCGATGCTCTGTCTCCCAGTCTACCTGAAGTGATTCAGCATAGAAATCAATAAAACAAATGCCACTGTGGCTGAGTGAGACCTTTCATTTTTCTCCCCAGGTGTTGGAGAAGGCTTCTGGTGAAGGATTTGGCAAAACCGCTGGTGAGATTCTGCGCTGCCATCTGTTCCCAGGATGTGGCTTTGCAGCTCCTAATGGACCTCTTCCAGCCCCACTTGGGATGGCTCCCCCTTCTGCAGCCTCCCTTCCAGCTCCATCCCCTGGTGACCCTTAGTGTAGAAATACCCTTTTCCCTTTGTTCCTCTAGGATGCTTGCTTGCTTGTATTTTTTCTTTGAGACAAGGTCTCGCTCTGTCGCCCAGGTTATAGTGCAGTGGCGTGGTCATAGCTCACTGCAGCCTCGATCTCCTGGGCTCAAGCCATCCTTCCTTCTCAGCCTCCACAGTAGCTAGGACTACAGGTGTGCATCACCATGCCTGGCTAATTGTTAAAATTTTTTGTGAGATGGAGTCTTGCTATGTTGCCTAGGCTGGTCTTAAACTCCTTGCCTTAAGTGATCCTTCCACCTCAGCCTCCCGAAGTGCTGGAATTACAGGTGTGAGCCACCATACCGAGCCCTAGGATGCTTTCTTAATTAAAGAATATCATCCGACCGACCCTTCCCACCCAGATGAGAATCTAGAGACAGAATTGGGAGGGTGCAGCTTCTTGGCCCATTTTATGCTTCCTTTGAGGGCAGGGCGAAGGCCTCTTATGGGTTAGGGGGGAGCACATTCCTCTCTGGGTAGCTCTGGTGCCTCCGGGACTTAGTCTTCTGCTTTCTAGCTATTATACAGCTCGCTCCTAAAGCTCCTGTTGACCTGTGTGAGACAGAGAAACTGAGGGCAGCCTTCTTTGCAGTCCCCTTGGAAATGAGGTGAGCAAGGTATAGAAAGACCACCAGGGCAAATGGCGATTACAGACATCTCTGTCCCACAGAGAGTGGGGACAGGGATAGTACTGGGGTGGGGGATAGTTTTCGGGAACTCGTGTGTCAGATCCAAGCTGTAAGGCTGTGACCCACACTGACTTATAAAATCAGCTTCCCAGCTGGGCCCGGTGGCTCATGCCTGTAATCCCAGCACTTTGGGAGGCCAAAGTGGGTGGATCACTTGAGGTCAGGAGTTCAAGACCAGCCTGGCCAACATGGCAAAACCCCGTCTCTACTAAAAATACAAAAATTAGCCGGGCGTGGTGGTGGGCATCTGTAGTCCCAGCTGCCCGGGAGGCTGAGGCAGGAGAATTGCTTGAACCCAGGAGGCAAAGGTTGCAGTGAGCTGAGATTGTGCCACTGTAGTTCAGCCTGAGCAACAGAGTGAGACTCTATCTCAAAATAAATAAATAAATAAATAAATAAATAATCTTCCACTTATGTACAGCAAAGGCCTGTGACTGTCCGCTGCCCTGGATGCCAGGAGATCATCATGCCAACCATGTTCCCTGCTTTGCTTTTAACAGTGGATACTGTTCTTAATGTCAGGAGTGCCAGAATTATCAGTTTGACTTGAAATGCTGTAGGGCCTGTGGCTTTTTGTCACTTGTCACATGTGGTTTAGGCAGGTGGTTGAGTGGAGCAGCAGGGTGACATTTGGAATGTGTGTAAATGCAGGGGAGGAGCAGCTTTGGGATGGAAGGCACATCCTGCATGGTGGACAGTCCACACCTGCATCGTTTAGAGACTCATAAATCACTTAGGAGACCCAAAATCTACCCATTGAGGACTTTAGTCCACCTCTCTGTCTCGGAGTTTCTCAATGTGTTTTTGTTTCCCTCTGCTGCGTCCTTTTCCTGCACTCTTCAACCTGTGCGCCCCCAGACTGGCCCTTCCTTTCCTCTGCCATGGACTGGGATTACTTGGGAACTGGCTTTGGCTTCCACCCTGGAGAGGGTGGGCACAGCCCTCCTGCTTAGGGAACTCATCCGCCAGGCAGTTCAGCCTCCTGCAGGACAGGCGTTGGTCCAGTCGTTCCTTTCCTTGCTCTCCTTGCTCTTCCCGCAGAGGGTCCTTCCTGGTGCTGCTCCTGAGGGAATGCTTCCGAGACCTGAGCTGGCTAGCGCTCATCCACAGTGTCCGTGGGGAGGCAGGGCTGCTGGTGACCAGTATCGTCCCGAAGACCCCGTTTTTCTGGGCCATGCACATCACTGAGGTATGGACTGGTTGTTGGCCCCCTCAGGCTCCTGTGCCTTCCTGCGTGGCCTTCCTAGGGTGGGCACGGTGACAGGGCCGGTCAGTGGTGGAGATGCAGGGTAACTACAGTCTGATCCCCAGGTTCAGTTTCGTTCTCTCCCACCTCCTACCCGTTTCCTTTGGGAAAGATTAGCAGTGCTAATGTAACAGGTGACATCTACAGAGGCAGATTTGTAATGCAGTGCAGGCAGTGGGGCCATTGCATTTTGCATCCCACAGGCTCTGCACCAGAACATGCAGGCGCTGTTTAGCACCCTGGCTCAGGCGGAGGAGCAGCAGCCCTACCTGGAGGACTCCGCTGTTAAGCGTGGGACTCGCTGTCTGGCAGAGTACCACCTGGGGGATTATGGACACGCCTGGAACAGGTGTGTGCCTGGGCAGGGGTAGAGCCTATGGGAGAGGTGTGCAGGGAAAATGCTGCCTTCTTGCATTCTCTTCCTTTGGGCTCTGGTTTTTTTTCTTGTGGCTTCTTCTCTCAAAATCATCTTTATCATTATTTCCTCACTCAAGAATTGGGGAGAAACAGAGCAAACTCGCTCTTCCTCCCTCCCACCTCCACTTTCACATCCGCTTTGTCAAAGACTGCTGTGCATGGCACTAGGCAGAATGACTTTCCTCTGTCTTTCCCCTTTCCTCTGCCAGGTGTTGGGTGCTGGACAGGGTGGACACCTGGGCTGTGGTCATGTTCATTGATTTTGGACAGTTGGCCACCATGCCTGTGCAGTCTCTGCGCAGCCTGGACAGTGACGACTTCTGGACCATCCCACCCCTGACTCAGCCATTCATGCTGGAGAAAGGTGAGACATCTTCTACCTTCCTACTGAGGGTTTCAGGGACAGGAGAAGCTATGGTTGCTTCTGGGACCTGAGCAGGAAACAGCATAGTGGGCGGCCAAGGTGCTTCAGTTTCTCTTTCTGAAAACCCAACCCCCGTTTTCAGCATCTGACCCCAGCAAAGCTGCCTCTCAAGTGTTGGTTTTCATGCCTGGGGTCTGGAGCCCAAGATCCCAAGAGGGACCTCAGATGCTGCCCAAAGGCTGAGTTCTCTGGAAGGGAAGAGAAGAGGGCAGATTTCCCACCCCTGCTTCCACCAGAGCTGTTCAGCTTTCATCTGTTTTACATACTTTGCATGTTGCTTCAGATTTCACTGGAAAAGGATTCTGCCATAGAAGAAAATTAGCACTCGAATACCAGTGCTAGAGGCCAGAGCACACCACTTAGCACCGCACTCTCCTAATGTGGTTTATTTAGCCTCAGACACCTGCGGGTTTCTCCATAGGTGGAAATGAAGAGGCCCTTTCTCAAGATCGAAGTTAGGTGAAATGTAAAAAGATGAAAGAATGCTTTAGGGGGCAGTCAGGAGAAGTGGAGATGAAGAAGCATACGTATACATACACAGGAAGTAAGATGGAAAAGTTTTATTTAAAAAAATTTTTTTTTGCTGGAGGCAGGGTCTCACTCTGTTGCCCATGCTGGAGTGCAGTGGCATAATCATAACTCATTGCAGCCTCAAACTCCTGGGCTCAAGCGATCCTCCCACCTTGGCCTCTCAAAGTGCTGAGATTATAGGGATGAGCTGCTGTGCTTAGCTGAGATGGAAACATTTTACATAAAAACTAAGTTTTTTATTTTTTTTGAGATGGAGTCTCGTTCTGTCGCCCAGGCTGGAGTGCAGTGGCATGATCTTGGCTCACTGCCAACTCTGTCTCCCAGGTTCACACAATTCTCCTGCCTCAGCCTCCTGAGTAGCTGGGATTACAGGTGCCCGCCACCACACCCAGCTATTTTTTTTTTAAATTTTTAGTAGAGATGGGGTTTCACTATGTTGGCCAGACTGGTCTCGAACTCGTGACCTCGTGATGCGTCTGCCTTGGCCTCCCAAAGTTCTGGGATTACAGGTGTGAGCCACCCGGCCCTCAGACAAACTAAGTCTTGAGATAGAGGCTCGCTCTGTCGCCCAGGCTGGAGTGCAGTGGCGCGATCTCGGCTCACTGCAATCTTCGCCTCCCAGGATCAAGTGATCCTCCTGCCTCGGCCTCCTGAATAGCTGGGATTACAGGCATGCACCACCACGCCTGGCCAATTTTTCTGTTTTTAATAATGATGGGGTTTCACGATGTTGGTCAGGCTGGTCTCGAACTCCTGACCTCGTGATCTGTCTGCCTCGGCCTCCCAAAGTCCTGGGATTAGAGGTGCGAGCCACCACTCCCGGCCAAAATATATATATATATTTAAAGATGGAAAGGCATCTCCCAATTGTGCAGGGCCAAGGCTTCCTGGGAGGCTGGTGGGGCTTGTGCCCAGTGGGCAGGGAGCACCACCCAGAGGTTGTCTTGGGTCATTGCATGAAGAGGGTCCCTGCTGCCCAGCCTGGGAACAGTCAGGCATCAGGAGCTTCTTCAGGTGACCCAGGGAAGAGGAGCTTCCTGTCTCAAAGTGCAGATCCCAGCCTGTCAGAAGGGCCAGAATCCCCAACCCAGAGATAAGTCAGACAGGTGTCAGTTTTCTTCCCTTTATGGATGAGGAAAATACGGCTCAGAAAACTGAAATGAACTTGTACTTAATAGCAAGAAAATGGCATAGCTGGGGATGAAACCTAGGTCTGACTCTTAGTGATTCAGTTTCATGCATACAGAGAGTCCCAGAGTTTGGGGGCTGTGGTGGGATGGTGGGAGTTGCATGAGGGACAACATCCTTGGAAAGGGTGGGTTTTTGATAAGCTCCCTGCCTGGTTCCAGCATGTAAGAGTGCCCGCTTCTCATGGTGAAAACCTCTCCACTTTTAACCTTGCTCTATCCAGCCGAAACTCTCAGAACAGAGTTCAGTGAACATGATTTTCTGTCCCCAGTAGAATTTCTCATTAAAAATCCCAGATCCCTGTAATTATTTTAACAAGTGCCTCCTCCCTTTATCTGCTGTTATTTTGCCCTCCCCCATGCTACCTTTTCAGCATTTATCATCTCATTTGATCCTGGCAGCAGGGATTTAGCAGGAACTAGCAGAGACTTGCTGGTTGGAGCTGGTTGGCGGCCAGAGCACTTTCCCTGCAGCCCCCGCCTTTTGCTTCCCTCCTTTGCTCCTCCTGCCCAGCCCCGTGCCACTGAGGTTTTGTTGTTGTGTCTTGTTTTGCAGACATTTTGAGTTCATATGAGGTTGTTCATCGAATCCTCAAAGGGAAAATCACTGGTGCTTTGAACTCGGAGGTAACTGCCCCTGCTTCTAACTTGGCTATTCTCCCTCCACTCCTGCCGTTGGGGTCTCTGCAGCAGGCTGCAGCCTAGGCCTGGATACAGTATTTACCTGGCATTCTTAGATCAAATGAATTGCTTATCTGAGGGGTTGGGTGAACTGGCTGGGTGGGCCTTCCTTCCCACCAAGGCTTTGTCTTTCTCTTCCAGTCGCACATCCTAAAGTTTGAAGAGTCTAAATAATGGGGCTCCCCTCAGCATGTTCCCTCTCCTGTTTGCCACGGATCCAGAGGCCACCTGCCCTGCCTTCTCGTACCCCTTTCACCCTTGAGGCCTGGGAGGTGAAAAAAGCCAGACTGTGCCCAGGATTGATTTTCATTTTGCTTTTACTCCCAACTTCCCTCCCAAAAGAGAGTGAAGTCTCATTTGTCATGTGTCTTTAGTTCCCCAACTTGGCATGAACATTTAAACCAAACATAGGAAACTACCATTAGGTTGAAAGCCTGAGGCAGCTGGGATGGTCTTTCTTGTGTCTCTTCTTTGTACCCCAGAGCATGATATAAGTGGTCCTAACAGATTCTGGATAATGGAGAAGCCCTCTGCTAGTTTTCCTGGCATTCAATGTAGAATAGGTAGAGAATATTTAACCAATGAGCAAATAAATGTTGGCATGTTTCATGAGTTTGGAGTGATTGATACTTCTTTCCAGCCACCCTTCCACTGCCCTGCCCTGCCCTGCCCTCTAAAACTGCTGCAGTGAGATTAGAGCCTGCCAGTGTGGGCTCTGGGCCATGCAAACCCTGCCTGGGATATAGATACATGCTTGAGGTATAGGGTAAGAGTTAGTTTCATTTATTCTTGCCTTCTAAGTGGAGAGAAGAAAATTGTTTCATGATGATATGGCCTTGATTCTTTTTTATACTTTGTACTTTATTAGAACCCTAAATTTAAGGTCATAAAAGGGAGTGCTGGGTTTGGCAAGAAAAATGGAGGATTCTCTTAGAGTTGGTGTCATGCAACTCACAGGAGCAGGCATTTCCCTCTATGTCAAGTGAACATGAACCCCACTGTTTCTTCAAATAATTTTATTAGAGCCAAACTATTTAAATAATTTTATTTGTTTCATCCTTTGGTAGATGAGAAAAATACATTACAAAATACATTATACAGAAGACAGCTCACAGTACACGTTACTAAAAACACAATCTACATTCCAGCCAGGGCTGGTGGTAAGTTCAGAAGAAAGCCACAGAGGCCTTGAAAACCAGATTTCAGCTCTATGGAATGAATTTTCCCCTTATGTCCCGTCTTTATCTCAACCTCAGCATATGTTTTATTAGCACCCCTAATTATGTGGGTGTGGGTAGGGTTAGAGCAGCATTGAGTGGGACTGGTGGACTCTCCATCCACCTAAAGCAGCAAACATTAAAAGTCCCTCAAAAGAAAAGGGGTGGGGGAGGGGGAAAGAATGGCCAATGTGAAAATTGCCGTGTCTCAAAGCATTACAGAACTGCTCTAGCATCCTACAGTTCCCAGGCAGCTGTCCCAAGTCTGGGTTTTCTGAGACTTGGGTCTTCACTTGGCCATCCTTGGCCTCTGTAATTTCCATCTTTATGAGAGCTGCTGGCATCGTAGGTCCTAAGAGGCTGTCTCAGTCCCAGAGCAAGCTTATAGACAAAGTGATACAGGCAGCACCCGCTAGATGCAAAGTCATGCCCAAACTTTTACAACAGCAAGTACATACAACACAGCACTGACAGTTCCATCTCAGTACAGACTCCCCACCTCACCTTCCCTTCCTGGATGTTCCTGAGCCTGGGATAAGGACACAGGTGTATAGAACAACCCCCTTAAAATGCTAACCCTTTCTAGTAGGACCCACCTAGGGGGAGTGGCTTGAAAGAATCCGTAATTTCCCAAGCCAAACAACTTCAGAGCTACACCTGTTCTTTTTGATAAAGCCAAATGAAGCAAGAGAGGAAGGTGAGCAGAGCTTACCAATGATCACCATCCGGTGCTGGTTAGAAGCCACTTTCCAGGAGAGGAACCAGTGAACAGCGAAGACTTGCAGCCACACAGCTGAGATCAGAAAAGACCACATACACACTTGGAGACTGTGTCCCCATCCCCACTCAATTCATTCAAAAGGAATTCTACGAAGCAGCCTCTTGAGCCTCATTTTCTTTTTCCTAGAAATTTGAAAACATCTGTGACTAGAAAAGTAGTCCTAAGAATTACCACCATCGTTTCAGCCTACCACATCGCAGTTTGGCAGGCCAGGCTCTGCATTCCAAGGGGGCAAGTGCTGGTTGCTCCAGAGGCCTTGAGGAGAAATCTAGGGGCAGACCAAGTGCGTGCTTCAGCTCCATGTTTCTCTTGCTTTAGCAGCAAAACGCAGCCTCTCATCTCTACCAAAGCAACACTGGACTCGTACCCCACCCCACCTCCCAAGTAGTTCAGGGGATGGGGTGGGATGTGCGAATAAAAATAAAGATGAGTCAAGACCAGCATCTTCAAATTAACAAACTGTAATTGTTTTCCCAAAGATACATTTTTTTCATACACATCCATCATACACTGTAACCAAAAAAAGCAGTGTACATGAAATAAGAGAAAATAAATTAAAAATCCATAGCATAGGTAAGGAGGCTCTAGTCTGGAGCACAGCTGAGTTTCCAGCAATATAAGGAGGCTCGAAAGTTTCTTTTATAAGAATGCCTGCTAGCAAGGGTTCCAGCAAGGTGGTTGGTTGGTCTGTAAGTCAGTCTTGAGTACTTGAAACAGTTCTGTGTTTGTTTTTTTTTCCTTAGCGTTTAGAATAGCCATCATTGTCCTGCAATAGGCAGAGCTATCACGTCCAGGAAAAATGAGGGAGGGAACCACAGAGGCAGCGTGAGATCCAAATACAGCATTCAAAGGTAATTGGTCCAGTGGTGCCTGGGGAGGGAGGAAGGGTGATACTCCAGGGTTAGCCGTCTTCCTTTGGGGGTGTGTACCAGCCTGCAAAGAAATGGAACGGTCAGTGAGGTGGAGGTTCAGGCCCACCCTCCCTGTCCTGCCCCAATCCCTGACGATGTCTCCAGTGTCAGAGGTAAGAGGATGTTGGGGAGGGCTATGCTGTGTGGGGAGAGGTATATGGGAAGCTGAGAGCCTGCATACCTGGAGATGAGAAAGAAAGGAGAATGATGTGCCCAACCTGAGATGATGGGGGAGTTAGATGAGCTGTTTCAAAAGGTGGTTAAGAAGTGGGTAGCACCAAGTTTATCGGTGATATGATCATTTTGATGTGTTTCTGGAAGAGGTTGTGAACGTTAGCCACCGCCAGTCCCTCCTGGGAGAACTGGGGCAGGTGCTGTGCTAATCGGTGGTTAAATATCAGAACCCAGAAGGGGTTCTTGCTCTGTGGCTGGAAGTGAAAACCTGGGCGTGGCAAGTGTCCGAATCTCCTGAGTCCTGGCTCCAGCCTCACCGTTTTTTTCGTGGATCTGCACCAAGGACTTGTAGGACTGCTGTGCTCTTGTCAGACTGTATTGAGACTGGGAGGAGGAAGCCACCACATCAGGCCATGGCCAGCTGTGGCCTTACTGCCCCTCACCTTCTGCAGGCTGTCACCCAGAGACCCCGGAGTCCCAGCTCCCAGCACTGTGGTCTAGTAAAACACTAAGTACCCTCCACCTGGGAGGTCCGTTGGGGGCATAATCCCATAGTTTTCCTTTTCCAGACCGGCACCCTCCCAAAAGTCCTAGGGGTGTCCCTAGGGGCCAAGGCACAGTTGTTCCAATGTGGGGACCCTAGGCCCTCTCATCCAATGCCACCAGTCCAGGGGCCTTATGCTCATTCCTCTAAAGAAGGCAGCCTTGGCCTGCTAGTGGCCCAAGTGTACTTGGCTCCACCCAGCCCCACCGGCCCCAGGGCCAAGATCCTTACTTTGTTGGCTCCAAACTGCACTCGTGCTTTCCCCTTCACCAGTGTGGCACTGATCTGCATGATCACTGACTCTATGGAGTAGGCACTGCTCCAGCCCTGGGTGAAGGGAGGGACAAGGCAAGCAGGTCTGGATGGAGCTTCCAGAGAAGCCTCATGCTTGTCCTCTGGGCAGTCAGCTATGTCTATAGGAGGGCCCTTGCCCTTTGCCCCCAGCACTGCCACCACCGGTCTTTCTGGGTCAGTGGGTGCAGACCCAGCCCAGCAGAATGAAAGGGCCACATCATGCCTATCACCCAGCCTGCAGGGGTTTATGCTGTAAAGCTCAGCCAATCCCCAGCCAGGCTGGCCTGGCCAAGGAGAGGCAGGCTCACCTGTTTGGTGAGAAGTTCCATGCAGATGGCCCCTCCGCCCAGAACATACCTGCATGAGAAAGGTTAGTCAGCTGTGCCTGACAAAAGCTCCAAGTCTCTTCCCCGCCCTCTGCCAGAGGAGATGCCCTCTTCCGCATGCCAGCCACTCACCCTCCAGAGAGGACTGGAGACACAACCCTGACAAATGGTGGGTCAAAGGGAAAGTTATCCTGAGAGAGACAGAGAGATGACAATCAGGGGAGGGAGGCCAACATCCTCCACAGGACTGTCAGGCAGGCAGGGCAGCCTAGGCCAGAGGGAGACACTGGAAAGGAAAAGCCTTACTTTAAAGGAAAAGTTAAGTAGGATGAAGTCGGCTCCTTCTTTCTCTTTGAGGATCTGGAGATCGTTGTGCAAAGCGCTGTCCTGGTCAACTCTAAGAAGCAACAACCCTAGGCTCAGATGCCTGGTTCCAGCTCAGGAGCTTCATAAGGGCTCCCCTGCCCTGGCTGGCAGCAGACCACCAAACCACTGCCCACACCCACTCCGGGACCCTGAATGAAAATGCTGGATGGGGCTGCCCTGGAGATCCCACCACAGTAGCCCCACTCATACTCCCCCTCAACTTCCTCTCCAATCCCAGAGTCCCCACTCACTTGAGGAGTTTGACATTCCAATCATACAGACTGTCATTCACGAGTTCGACTGCATAGTTTCCTGGAAGGAGGGAAAAGATAGGTGTTAGTAGGATGGTCCAGGTGGTGAGAGTGGATTCTAATGCAGACCCCTTTCCCAGACTGAGAGAAAAAGATCAACAGCTGTAGGTTCACCACAGATGGACATGCAACCAAGCCACTGGCTTGAGGAGCTCCATTCTTGGCCTGAAAAGTTCATAAGCAGTCCTGGACCCCAGAACCTCTTGGGCCCCTTGCCACCATACCCTTCTTTATGGGTGACTCCTGTGCAGGCCCCTCTCTGGGGCAAACTCACCGCCTTTGAAACTCTGTGATCGGTATATATCCCTGAGCTCCTTCATCAGCCGGTCAGTGGCCTGCACCGAGCCAGACACTGCACCCTGTGAGGGACGGATGACATGAACATTCCTTGGTTGTGTGGTTTGTAAACACACGTTAGACCTTAGGGGCAGTCTGGCAGCTTGCCCAGGATTTAAGGAAGGATTAGGTACACCCCAAAAAAGGAGTCTGCTCTCCATACTGAGATACGATGGCCTACTACTTTCCAGCCATTTCCCACCAACCCCTTCACCAGCCTCTCTCTAGAAGGCACGTACATTTAAGTAATCTTGCCTCTGGTTCTTTTTAATTTTCTCTAGGATGGCCAAGTTTTCTTTTCCAATGCCATCATCTTCAGATTTCTTGCCCTCAGCTGGCTCTTCCTCTTTCAT